ACAATTTGCACTCAATTAGGATTTACTTGTAATACTGTTGGGTAACATATGGTCATGTCTGATGACAGCTCCCAGCCAATAGACTTCAGGCTCAACATACCAAAATAGAATGTGGGGGGGTTGTTTTCTTCTGCTCACAATGTATTTGGGACCCTATTGTATTAAGAGTTTGAAAGAGGATCAGAACATGCAGGATGCAGGCTGTACCCACTCTGAGCTACAGTATGACATGCCAAAGATTTACAAGAACAGATTCTTGGCTTCAAGTTTGAAATGAATTGCTACCCCAACCATTCTGTTTGCTGGAGGTAGCTACTGGAATAGACTGAAATCTGGGAAGAGCACTTTTTTGTACTGCTGTTGAAATGTTGCTAAGTGTAAATACATGTGGAGGGATGAGCTTAAAGATGGTCTAAGCCTGGCTGGGTGCACTCTGTTGGWGACATGCATGTCTTGAACAAAGCCTGCCTCTCATGACTTTCAACTTTCTATGCAAAGGGTATTACAGATGTTATATACAAGGTGTTAACAGTCACGTCATCTTATTCAGAATGTAATAGACATAGATGACTTGCCATGAAGATCGCAGTCAGAAAGGAGACAAGAATAAACAGCAACTGAGTATTTTAAATCATAGTATGGGTGAAATATCAGCTGTGCCTTCCATACCTAAATGAGGTCTACCTATCACTGCTAAGCTTGTTACATGAAAATTTCTTTCCTAGTATTTAAGGAAGTATTTCCACAGAATAACAATATTCTTCTCCAGTGAGGCCTCAGCTAGAGGTTAAAAATCACAAAATGGCAYTTTCCTGCCTGTGATTGTCATATAATGATAGGATTAGGAGAAAACCCTTCACTATGTTTTCCTGACACTTACTTTGCATTTTATCACAGTCTATATTGATTTTCTTATCAGAAATGCTGGAAAATGTAGATTTTATTTCTAAGATTTTTAGAAATAAATACAGGATCATGATTAGATAAGGCAACACTTCATATCTGAATTTATTTCTCAGGTTATGTATATTCATTCTCATGTATTTTATCATTATCACATTGAAAAAAACCCAGCTGCACAATGTAAATGTAAAATAAATTATTTTTTCCAACATGTGCAACTTAAACTGCTAGGAAAAAAAGTATTTTTCCACACTTGATCTGTTCAGTGATCCATTTCTCTTAAAATTCAATATGAATATTCAATACAGATTTCCTGAATTCAATATGACATGTAACATTTACTACTACCTTGGTAATTCTTTATGAATGGTATTAGAAGGTAAGAATTCTGTGGGGTGTGAATTCTTTAAGATTTGGAGAATGACTATTTGCTTACTCATTTTGAGACAAATATAGCTTAAACTTTTATCAAACATGTTGTTTAATGCAATTCTGTTTATTAAACTCTGAGTAACCAGATCCAAATGTAACTCTACCATGTATTCTAAATTATAATAAAACTCAAGCCAAATTCTTATTTTGATTTTAGTTTTGARCAGAACTAAATAGCTAAGGCCTAGTTTTAACTTTTATAACTCATAAAACTTTATGATCCTTTAAAACCTGTCCACAAGTATTTCATTTTCTGACTTCCTGTGGGTATGAACTTCCCACATACTCTGAAAAGAGGTATTTTTTTTAATCTGTCCCAGACCAGTCTGCATGCACAGTCTGCAGATCATATGCTAAAAATCTTCCACAGGAGCAAGATTAAATGTTTTCCTGTGTATTAGTTGTTTTCTATATTCTGCTCCAATATTCCCCAGTTCTCATCTGCAGCTGGTCCCACCATTCCCTCATCAGACTCATGTAGATATTTGGTCACTGTCAAGTCGCAGTAGCAGGAGGCTCATCTGAAGATGGCAGCAGGAGCAGCTTTTTCACTGGCAGAAATGCCAACAGGATGAAGCTTAAAGCTGGCAAGAAACTAATTTTAGTTTTAGTAAAGACTTCGAATACAGTCATATTTTAAATTAAATGTATGAATTAAAATTAATATAAAGGTAATATCTKGCTCCTAAATACTGAGAGGCAGAGTTTATTTGCTCAAGCACAGGACTATGCTAATGAAATATTTAATGCTTCCAGGACTTCAGTATTTCTAGACAAACTTTCACTGCCTTTTATAGATGTACAAGTCTGGGTCAGTACTACTTCATAGCTGTCTGTGGCAGGTATGACTGGATTGCATCGGTATGGTCTGTCTTTTCTGTTCTGTTCTTGTACTTTCTGTACAAAGGAAACCTTGTACCTGAGTAGGCTTTCTAGGCCCCTTAGAAATAAAAAGCATTAATAATATCACCCTTAGATTGCTTTCTAATTCCCATGCCAAAGAAGTAATAGATTTTTGTCCCAAGGTTTTTCAGTTCTTATGCTGTACAAACTGTCTAGATTAAAATRAAAGTTGAAAGTTTTCTTTTACATTCTTCTAATATTGAAATGTTTCCATTTTATGAAAATGGAAATAGCATTCTGAGTTGTTTAATGATTACATTTTTAGTAAGAAAAAACTTAAATCCAAAATGTCTTGGATTCTGATCTTCTGTTAATATTCCTTCCCCTTCCCCCCTCATTTTACAGTGATCAAGAAAAAGAAAAAGGAATGAGAAGATGATTTATATTTTTAATGAAAGATTGAGTGAGGGCAGAAAAAGTGTACTTCCATTTTGAAATCTCTCTAATTTCAGCGAGGAGCAGGTGGAGAGTCCTTACAGCTTACAAAGCACAGCTGTGATAATCTCACATTGACCAGCTCCACTGCACAGATGCACTGGCATTTTCTAGACAAGTAGAAGATTCAGGAGGTCATCAGGAAAATGCATTTCAAATATGCAACCYGACCCAGTTCAGAAACATGCTTTCGTACGTGTAGTCTCTGAAGAGAATTGGTGTATTTTGTGTTTGCATCATATTGTCTGTATTCTCTACATCCTACATCTTTGATCGATTTCTATGTTTGTTCAGCATGGTACACCAAGAAGAGTTAACCTGYTATAAATATTGAATATTAAAACCTGTATCAAGCCCTCATATCCTGAGGTTCTTATTTGAAACAGTGAGAGCTCCAGTTTCCCACAGCAGGCTTTGTTTAGTGGCCATTGTGAATGGCTGCCACCAAACGATTGGGACTCCTACAGATGGTTCTGCTGAGGGCCTGATGCCCTGATGCCTCATCCTGGCACTGCTGGCTGCCATGCTGACCTCTGGCACCTTTAGCTGTGCAGCTGTAAAGGATCAGGAACTTTGTTTGCCAGCCCCGCACCAAGGGCCAGGCTGCTGGGATGCTGCTCCCTCAGCTCCTGTGGCGTGCTGGGCCATTGTCAAAGCCTCTGTGAGGGCTAATGGYGGGTGCGCCAGGTTCCAGACAAAGCACACACCTCACGGGGTGTCCCCTTTGCCAGGGCTACCCTGAAGCCCTTCTCTGGTGAGGCTTTCAGCTGAATTATGACTGATGGTCCAGCAGAAGCATTATGGAAGAAGACAGAAAAGACACAGGTGCAGCTTCCAAGGACGACACGTTCCTGAGGGCACCAGGAGRCAGAAGCCAGGGAAGACAAGGCAGTGGGCCAGCTTGGAGGCACAGAGAGGGTGAAAGAGGCTGTGGGCAGTCCAGAGCGAGATGGCAGGAGCCATCTCTTTATGCTGAGAGGCTTTAAGGTACTGCGGGTGTGACAGTAAGAAAATGCGTAGAGGCGGCAGTGGTGTAGGGAACCGAGGGGGCGCCAGGAGCGCCTCAGCCTGGAGGTGGCCCGGGGGAGCACGGASCGCCCGACAGCCCGGCCCGGGGGTCCCTCACGGCCCGGCCGTGGCACTGAGGCAGCTCTCAGAGAAAACTCTGAAAGCTGAAGGGAGGTCAAGGATGGCTCTGAGGCCGTCGGAGAGCTCCAGTGAAAGCSGGGGCAGCGCCGAGCAGGTTTGTGCCTGAGGTAAGCGGGCACAGTGTCCCGCCTGTCAGACGGAGAGCAGAGCTCCGAGCCCCCTGGAGGCTGTCGAGAGACCTGCCCTGCTTTTGACTGCTGAATACAAATACTACGCTGGGGAGTTAGCACAGAGAAAGAACGTGGTGAGTAGTGACATGCTATGTCCCCTTAGCTGTTCAGAGCAGCCACAGGGGGTGCGGGGCAGTTAGGCAATCTGAGGACACGGTCTTGCCTCACAGACATCGCTCTCTTTCTGCGTTGGCTTTGCCACTTCGGTATGTSTTTCTACCTGCACCTTTCAACTCTTTGAAGTAACAGACCGATTCAGTGCTGCCTGTAAGGAGCGACAGCAAGGTACTGGTATTTCCCGGTATTCACAGTGTGTGCCTACGTGGACCTGCATGGTGCATTGCCACGCACCTGTGTGCATTTACCTGCGTGGTAAAGGCCAGGCTCTGAGGAGGCTGGAATCAATTGTGGTCTGGGAGCAACATTAACTATGTAGGGCACAGGTGTGTCTGAAATGATGGGTTTCCTTGARAGACCATCTAAAACCTTTTATTCTGAACATTAGGAATTGCTAATTTAGGCAAAATTGCTAATTTAATGTTACTATAATGACAATATAAAGGTACCTGAGTAGATACCAGCCAAACACCTCCAGATTCCCATAAGGCTATTGCCTCTTCACCTGTAGAAAAGAATAGTGAAAATGGAGAAATTTTGATTTTTAGTGACTGTGTTGTTAAGTTGCATCTGCTGCTCTTCTGTGTTGGGACATGGCATGGAGGGTAAGATCAGAGGTCATTGTGTCTGCTGTGTAACAGACTAAGTGGGAAGCTAGGTAGAAACAGCACCAGCTGTGTCTTCTGACCAGCTTCCACCAGCTTACCATGTTTATCTATTCAGTCTGAAATGGTATAGGTTAGCCTTAAAATTGGCTGTGGAGTCAGCTTGTGATTCTGATGTTAGAGGACTGTTATACAGGTAGGTWACAGGCCTGAGAAAGAGAACATGCATCAGTCTTGTGTTTATGTTAAACAAGTAAGTTTTTAATTTTAACTGCATACCTGCTGAATACTGCACAAGCCCCAACCTGCTCCTCAGTAACAGCAAGCTGCTGGTCAGCATGCATAATCCAGTTATGAGAGGGGGATTTCTTCGTGTCCAGTGGAGCCCAGCGTGAAGCAGGGGCAAGATCCTTACTTGCTTTTCACAGCCTGTACTCTTTAGAACCATCACGACAACCTGGCTGTCTTGTTGCATCCCGAAGCAGTTGAAATACGAGGGAACTCAAACAATTATTTCAAATTAAATGTGCAACACTACATAAATCAAGCTGCTAAATGTAAAGCCAAACATCAATTTGACACGCACTTCAGCCATGCTGAAGGTAGTAGCAGCTGTAGTCAGTGCTGCATTTCTTCTTGACCCTGTTCAACATCCTTGGGAAAGATTCATGTTTCATTTTACTACCATGCCAACCAAAATGTTAAGCCAATGGGGATATGATCATTAAAGCTGGGTGGAAGCTCAATTGATTTTTTTCATTGAAATACAGAAGTGACTTATAGTCCAGTTTTGGGATGGGATCTGTGGGTCTTCTCTGGAATTCTGATAGCATAGCTAGGAGCTGAGGTTTTGAGCCAAAAAATGGCTTTGGGTGTTTTTTCTCCCTCCAAATAAGGAAAATAAAGTTCCATGTTTGACTTCAGAATATGACACCCATCCCCTGCCACTGGTCCTCCCTGATCCTTGRGAATTTATTTCTGTAAGATATGGGAACTGGTTTTTCCTTTTCCCCACTTTTTATTTAATTATGGACAACATCCTGTATTCAGTGAAGTCAAAATATAACTAGTGTATAGATGACTGAGGGGCACATAGCTACGATTTGTTGGCACATAACTACAATTACCAGGGTGAATAAGTCTTCTAATGTGATCACACCAAGTGAATGTTTGGTCATTTCTGTCACTTGATTAAGAGAAGTCTTGCAAAATGTTAAGACCTTTGGAGACAGGAGCAAAACAGGGAGACAATACAGGGGGCTGTGGCAGGAGGAAGATATAATGATGACTGTACCATGACAGAAGCCAGTGGGGAATGGTAAAATGTTGCTGCTGTGGGAAGCTTAAGAGGTTAATGCCATGCAGCTAGGGATGGAAAGGAGTTTGCATGGACCCAGATCTCAGATCTGATCCAATTGCAGACCAGTTCTAAAGAAAAAAATACTATAAATCAGTACAGAATTCTAGTGAATCATGCTTTGGGCTTATGGTTTGTGATCTAACCAGCAGTTCTTGATGGAATTACAACTGCCCTGCTCACACTCACCTGCCATTTGCTCTGTATTAAGTTAACAATAGTAAATAAACTGTGTATTAGATTTCAAGCTGACCTGTTCATGCCAAATGAATTTGTCTTGCCCACAGGCTGTCCTAATTCAAAACATATGGATCAATTTAAATCCTGTTGCTTCCATGCATTAAAGTACTGTTTAGATTTTTTGCCTCATCAGTATTCATCACCATTATGAACAACTGTGAAGTTTGTTATGGATTTGGTTCAGAAGTGTTCTCAGGTAGATTTGTGTGTGTGTCTGTGTGTGTGTGTGTAAGGTCGTGAAAGAGTAGAAGTAAGATGGACTATGGTGACACTGTACAGCGTTTACACCTATCTCATGCAGCCAACAAAAGATGATCTGTCCTTCTGCAGACAAAACCTTCACTAGCATCAAAGGAAGTTTAATTGGAGGAAAGATGGGGTCCTTGTTTAGTGAAAATACAACTGAAGTCAGGAGCATGGTAGTATGATAGCGTATTTCTCATACAGCAGTATAAGTCTCATAGAACACAGAAGTTTTCCATTTTTCCCAGACTTCTAAGGGGTGAAAAAAATTATTTGTAAAATGCAGTTGCTCATAAGAAGAAATTTTTAAAAAATCAGAACCTCATGTCAGACTCTGAACAACAAATTTAGGCCTCTAAATTAGCAGTGTGGGCTTTTCAAAAGTGCTGAGCTCTGTCAACCCCCACTGCTCTTAGGATACAGTTTCTAAGGCTGGACATGGTTTGACTGCATGTTCTTGCAAAGAAATACTAAGAATATGCAGTAGGTCAAAGTGGCTCCTTATCTTTGTGCAGCGATAAGGGCTGCTGTTCCTCCTAGGAAACAGTGTCTTAGAAGCGGAAGGCTGCACTTCTTATCATTCAAGTATGTGCCATAAAGGGGTAAAAATAGGGGCACTGAGGATAAGAAAGCTGAAACTAAGGCACCTGCTACCCACAGAAGGAAACTTGGGAGTGAAATAAGTGAGAGTCTCTTCTGTTTTGAATACTGCAAATCTTCACTTACAGGAACAAAAAATTTGTCTGTAAAAGCCTCTGAGATTACTGATACAAGAAAAGGCTTCCTGGATTTAGATTCCTGACTTTATCATGCAGGCAACATTCCATTTACTGCATTTTACAGAAGTTGAAAATGTCAGAGTTGACTGAGGGAATTAGATTTCAATAGCTGTTAAATGTTTGCAGGACATCTTAAACCCCCATTGAAAAMCTTCTAATTTGTGACCTAAGTACAGTCAATTAAACAGAAAGTTTGAAATAAGGCATTGAGGTTGTATCACTGTCATCMAATAATGCATATTTCATCCAATCTCACAATATTTTAATCCAGTATTCACTTTGTCATGATACATAATGCAGGCTATTTACAATGATGGCTATTCTTTAAATGCCAGTTTTCCTTTAAAACAAGCAGCAACAACAACAATCAGCCCCACACCCTGCTCCAAACCTTGTTTGCAATGGTCTTCATTTGCATCACTATTGTACAGATTTGCAGGACAGAAATAGGGGATGTTCCTATTCTTAGAGATTCTGCCTTGTATACTACCTGCAGCCACATTCTGCCACTTTCATCCCTTCATAGTTATATATCAAAGTGGGCACACCGGCATCATCCTTGTAAAGAATGGAGATTGAGTCCAGTTTGGTTGGAACACAACAGGCCTTGGAGGCCTTTTTGGGATTTTGGAGATGCACCAGAGTTTGGACAATAGCATGTTTTGTTGGGGTGACATTATCTGTCAGAGGGAAGAAGCAACCTCCTTTACACTCAAAAGCCTCATAATCTTTTGGTGCAATGATCCAGGAATCCCAGCCAATCTCCTCAAAGTTCACATGGAGGGAAGTTCTCCTGCAGTGGTTGGCTCCAATGCTTCTCTTGCTTCTGGAGGAATGCTGGTGGGACCCAGTGATAGCCTTTTCCTCTCCCTGCTGTTCTTCTTCAGATGAAGTGTTGTTCTTTCCTAATTTCTTGAGCACAGTTTCTTGTTCATGAACAATCATTTCCCGGAGCTCCACTTTGGTCTCTTTTGTCCCATTGCTGCGATCATTGGAGAACACTATTAACAGGGGCACATTTTTAGTATCAGGGGTAACACTGATATCCAGCTTCCCACAAGTAAAACTACCCAGAGCTTTACTCTCCATAACAACCTCTAGCTTATTTTTAGTCTCCAATTTGTCTGCCCTGACCCATCTTTTCACAGCACTGGACACTTCAAACATCTTCCAACCACACTCCTGGATATTGTGGGAGACAAGGAAAGATTTGGTGCTTTCTGGGTTTTCCCAGTGACCATCATCTAGGACGTCATAAATTACCATGTTGCCTTCCAGCCTAGATAGCGACCCAACTTCCCTGTGACAGGAGATATAAATTCTCAGTTCAGCTCTGGTGATTTCCTCATATTGTGGAATAGAGATGTTGAAGAACAAAATGTATTTCTTAAATGGATTTTCTTCTGGTGAATCTAAAGAAACAACATCTGCAATAGGAAATCGAAACATGTGGTTACAGTGCTTCTGACTGTCCAAGTAACTTAATTTGAAAAGACTCAGGATATATTTTCAGCATAAAATAAGAGCATGGTGACACAGCATTAAAAAAAAAAAAAAATCCTGTCTTCTGGCTAAATTTCAAGGACAGAGAGTGAAAGAAGGAAATGGAAGTCCTTCGTGTTGGTAGCATTTTACCATGATTGCATAGCCAGGTGAGTGTGTGGAGGGAAGCATGAAGAGGCTGCCTAGGACAAACTGTGGATGATGCTGGGCAGTATTAAGTGCATAAATAAGGCATGTRCAGAGTTTTGAGATTAAGCAGTTTGCTAAAGATACTTTTACACAAACAATTCCTAAAAAGCCCATTGAATTTCCTAGTCTTGTGATCATGCAGTGGGATGAACTGCTCCAATACAAACATTTAAACATGTTTGAGAAGTGGCTGTGCTGAGGCTTTTGTTGTTGTCTTCGAAGAAGTTTGAAAGCAGCTTGGACTGGGAGTTTGGGGAAATAGAAAACATKTTTTAAAATCCTGAATTGAAGCTCTAGTGTCTGTCTTAACTGCGACTTGGTGATGAACAGCCCTTCATGTCTAGGTCCCAGACTGTTCCAGGCTGGACTCACTGAGCTTGTGTGGGTTTGTTCATGTCTTTGTTTGTTGTCTGCAAATCTATGTGCAGTACCAGCAACTCTGCCCTGAGAGGGGCAGATATTTGTCTGGAAGATCAGATTGGCAGTGTTTAAAAATCATCACAGATGTCTATTTAACACTCAGTGTAAACTAACTGCTTAATCATGACTGGGGTTTAGGGCAATTTTAATGGGCTATTGCTGCCACTTCAGAGCTTGACCCTCTAAAGTAGTCAGAGGGGAGAGTGAGATATGGAAACTATAATCTAAGTCCATATTGTTGAGATTTCTTTCTATTTCAGGACTAGAGACACTAACTTGGGAATCTGTAGTTATCTTTAGTGCTGTTACCTGTGCATGTCTATTTTTCATATAAAAAGAAACTTAATTTCTCCCTGTTTCATTTTTATAACAAGGACTGCACTTTTAGCTTTTTTACTGCCTGATGGAGCTCTTAAAAGTCTACTTAATGTTACATGGACAGGGATCTTGATTTTTTTCAGTTGAGATAAGCATGACTACCCATTTTCATATAAATCTTTGTCCAACCCAGAATTTTGGAGGAGGAGTGCTCTTCCKTGCTTGGATCAAGAGACACATTTGTCTCGGTTGTAGTTTTAAAATATGTACAGAGCCCACCAGAAAAAAAAAAAAAAGCTCTCTAGCATCAGTCTGAATTAGAGGTGATCAAAAGTTTGCATTCTAACATAGAAACTCAGTTCCAAATATCTAGGATTGAGAAACATGCTTCATGTAAACCCTGTTATTTGGTGCATCATCTTAGTTCAAGCATTTGAGAAGAAAATATTGTATAGGGAAAATACCACAAAGAAGAAAACGGCACTAAATGTAACTGCATTTTTTAAAGATTGAAAGAAACTACAGAGTGAGGATGCAATCCAAAATGTTGATGTTACCTTTCTAAAGAATCTGTGGAAATTCAGTTTCTTCTGAATTTCTAAAGAATCTGAGTACTTACTATCCATGCACTTCTTTAAAAATTCAAATCCACATATTTAGGACTTCTCCTACCTTCAGTACTGAAGCTCCTTACAATATTGGATGCAGGGATGGAGGACTTGTCTGCAGCATATCTGTTGTATAAATCAATCATGAACTGTGGTGGTTCCTCTTTGGTCTTCACTTGCGAGGGGACTCTTGACAAATTCAAACTCCTTAGTAAATCTGTCTTCATATTCTCCAGGAAAGATTTAAAGTTGAAATGAGTCTCATCTTCTACTTCCCCAGGATCGTGAAAGTGTGCATCAGACTTTCCCATAGCTGATAGCCTGTCCCAGTCTTCCAAAGGCTTGCCTCTTGTCAAACAAGCAATGATGTTGAAAACAGACAGTGCAGCCAATACTCCAAAACAATGCATTTCTTCTATATTTACTTTCTGGTGGAGAGACAAGAGGACGAGGGTATTTTAGCTGATTAACAGTCTTGTTTCAATACAGACAGAGGAAAGAAGATGTAAGGCAAACAACTGGAATGCCCTTTGCAAATCACTTTCTTGTGTTCTTTTTGCAGTCTGCTTCAAACCCCAGCCTCTTGTCAGTTGTCAAGCAGATTGGTCGTACACTTGCCCTTATCAGAGTCATTGATGCCATGCTTCAGCTTCTGTTATCTAGCAAAGCTCTTAGTTAATGAAGATTCTGTAAACATCTGACAAACACATGTGGCTGGTGGGAAGGACACTGTATATTGTAAAGAATCCACATTTCACTTTAGGGTCATCTTTGCTTAATTACATTCTTCTATCATTTCCTTGCCAACACAGAGAGAAGCTTTCTTAGGGACGCAGAAGATTACACTGTTTTCAGCAAGACTAGAAAATACGGATCTAGAACAAAATCAGTCTGTTAGCTATTAACAAATAACATCTCACAAATCCTTTTTGCAGTCCCTTCGCACACAATCAGAAAGTGCCCAGTAGTTTGAAGAAGATCTGTGATTCTGCAAGATGTGATCTCATGACAATRCAAACAACCTTAAAACTTCTTTCCGTTTATCAGCCAAGGGCTATTGTTTGTACACAGTGAAATATCTGTTTTGTGTCAAGTTTCCTTCATGTTGTTTGCAGGCGTTTCCATTTTCAGTTTGATTCCTTTGGTGTATGGGAATTTAGGCTTGTTTTTATAGTATCTTATGTAATATATTTCATAGATACATGATGGTGAATCTAGTCCAAGAACAACCAGACATTTTTTCAGCGACCTCAAAATGAAGACAGAACTAGGCCTTCTAAGGCCACATGGAAAGTAAAAAAATCTTTTTGAAGATACAGAAGATTATCTCTGAAGATGCTRTGTACATGAGAAGAATAGGCCAAGGCAAATTAATTTCTCCTGATACAGAAGGGTTTATTTATCTTAATGAATGTATTATGATTTAATCTAATGATACATAATTGCTTTTTCTGTATTATTAATGCATAATTTTTTCTGAGAACAACTCAATTCATATTGTAAATGTGCCAGAAAAGCTGAGGAGTATTACGCGTTTTTACATTAAAAAACATCTCATTGCAAACATGTGCTCAGGATTTTGCCTTTTTTGGCCATTCCTCTGGTTTTTTAGCAGTGGATACACAGCATTTAAAGTGATCCCAGACTTCTGAAATGCTTGCTTATGTGTCTGTWAAAGTGATAACTAGAATCCAAGATCCTGGTTAATTATGTTCCTATGACATAAAGTGAAAAAGGATTATTTGGCATTGATCCTGGGCTCCTGCACAGAGACTTACATTTTATTTAAGGCCTTTGTTTCCTCCCTGAATGCAGAGTGTAATTGTTTGTATTWGGCTAAACATAACTTTTTAAGAGTCTCCAGGCTTTATCTGTACATGTCAATGAATCAAAAATTTATTAAATTTTTGTAGCACTTACTGTAAAAGATTATCACCTACAGTTAAAAAACCCCTTTGTACCACATTCCTTATTTCATTGTGCCTGACTTTACCTTCTAGACTGGAATTCTTGTAACTTTCTGGCTAGTTTAAGGAGTCTCATAGCACTGATTTTTTCTCCGTATCAAAGTGCTTTCATAGTGTAATCAAGTTACTTCTCAGTTTGCTTTCTGATAAAATAAACAGATTGGTCTTTTTAGTAACAAAAAGTTAGCTCCAGTGTCTGTCTTTCCAAAGTTTTCATTGGCTGTCATTGCATAGCATCACTCTGGATGAGCATAYTGCATCACAAATCCATGATAGCCACAACATTTTTGTTACAAGTTATGACTTTCAAGGGTGCAGTCCTGTACTCAGTAGGAGCAGCCTCCATTCCTTGTGCCTAGGCACCTCGACTTCTGCATCTTGTCGACTTTAAAATTAATTTTAATTACATAAAGCGCAGCTAGATCAAGTGATCTATATAAATACCTCTCTCCTCCTGCAAATGCTGTGGGGGTTGATATACAGACTTCTAGTTCACACATAAAGATATCAGGCCAAGTGTCAGCTTTGCAGAAACTATACAATGAACAGTTTAACTTGGTGGAAATTCCTTTTGAAAGCTGTTCTTTGAGGTTTGGCAGTGAGACTGTTTTTAATTAATGTGATACACAAATATATTAATAATATTGTTCAGTGGTTTCTTTAAATTATGCAGCCTTGTGCAAGTGGATTGAAACTCCACGAAATCCTAGGTATGCTGTCACCTCTGGCAATCAAACAGTGGCTGAAAGAATGAAATCAGATTTGCTTTAGAAAGAAAAGGTTTGAACACTGCTGGCTAGCATCAGCTTCTTTCCATGTTTTGTCTGTCTTGCCTCATACCATATTCTTTTAGGATTAGTTGTGGAATTATCATGACCTGTGTTTATCAATAGTAGCTTTCTCTAGAAACTCAAACATTGAGCAGAAGGGTTTATAAGATGTTCACAGAAATAAGAAGATCTCTTGAACCAAGATAGTGAGGGTATCAGTATCCTCTGGCAGCAGCTGACTGCATTTGTGCCATTGCAAATGCAAGCTTTCTCTTTCTAGAGGAAGATTAGACATCCAAACACCAAAGATCAGGAAAGGAGTAACTTAAACCACTAAAAGTGGTTGAAAGACTTGTTTGCCTTAAAGAATTGACCAGTACAGCTGAAGTCCAAATGAAGATTTACTAATAAGAGATGTATATGACTTGTGTTGAGAGCAATGACACAGGTATAATATTTTTGCCAATATTCTGTTTTGCCAACAGAACTTTAAATGCAGTCTTAACCTCTCAGAGTTGTAGGTGTCCTACTGAGTGTAGCAGTAGCATTTTTCCTTATGTCCTATAGACCTTAGATCATAGTATGGTATCTCTTGTCCAATAGCTTGCATCAGCACATGTTGAAAAGAATGTTTTTACCCAAGGACTAATTCAAGATATAGAAAATATTCCTTAAGGAAAACAAAATGCTATAGATGAGAATATAAGCACATTAGGTTAATATGTCAGGCTGTTCTGAGCTAGTGATAAATGGGAGCAAAACTAGACCTATAGAAAAAGGTAGATTTTCAYAGAGAGCAGAAATAACACAGACTTAATATACTTTTAAAGATGTTATGCTTATGGCTGTTCTGTAGGAAAGATGATTTTCTGAAAACTTTCATATTTTTCTTCATACATTAGMATTCCTCTGTCAAATGTAGCTGAGTTTCTCATGATTTATAAAAACACAAGACTGTAATTTTTTAAGGGAGATCTCTAATGACAATAGTATACAAAGGTTTTTCCCAATAGTTCTAGTGTAAATTACTATAGTAATTTACAAAGTACAAAAGTACTTTGGGAGAAGAACTGAAAACTGGACCTGTGATCTTTTGTCAGGCATAACTGGCAGTCAGTATAGGGATCCCTATAACTATGTACTTCTTAGTCAGAGCTGTTTAAAAGGAATTAGCAAGAACTGCTGTGAGAGTAACCTTGCAAAGACTCCCMTGCCTGCTGAATCTTGCTTTTATGTACATTAGCAGGATGTACCATGTTTACATACCTTTGTTGTCTGGGAATCTGCACCACCTGAATATGGAATATTGGTGGCAGAAATACCTAGCACCTTAGTAGGATAGGAGCCTTCCGGTTACTCATCATCAGAAGGAAGTGAGTTTAGCATCCTTCCCTTAAATAAAGCAACTCTTAATAGGAAAAGATAGTGTGTAAGATTAGACTGTTTCTTGAGGAGGACATACCCCGCATCTTGTACTCTGTGCTRCCTCACAGACTTCAGATGTTTCTTCCACTCTTGGTCTCTTTATGCTATTGTACAGCAGGTGGGTGAAAATGAAGTATGCGGCAAGTGTGTTCTAGAACACAGGGACACTAAGAGGATTGACAGACACCATGATGGGAACACCAGCTCTTCAAAGACTGCTGCAGTTACAAGGCTACCATAAATGTATCAACAGGGGATTGTTAGAGGGACGCAGAGACTTTATTTSTATAAAGACTTCTAATAGAACCACTGCCAAATGTTTCCCATTTTGATGTTCATTGTTTGAAAAGAAAGTTAATGAAAGTTCTGGAAAGAGTTCAGAAGAGAGCTGTGAGAAATTGTTTTAAGGCTTAGAATAAGAAATCAATCTATTTAAATCTCAGCCAAAATGTAATTTGACCCTACTCTCTATACTAAAAATACACAGTGAAAGTATTTTGGATAATAGATAAAAGGGATCTAATAAAATAGGTTCCAGTAAGATCCATTGAATTGAAGCTGAAGCTCATCAAATTCAGGCTGGGATTAAGCCACTGCATATGAACAAAGAGCACTAACTTTTGGAACAACTACTTGTAGTCCAGTGGAGATATTCTATCACATGAAATCTTTAAAGCCAAATTTATGCATGTTTTTCAAAGATATTCSCAAGCTCAAAACAGAAGTTCCATAATGCATGGTGCAGAAACTGCTGAGCAAGGTTCTTTGATCTGTGCTATGCAGGAGGTCGGTCTAGATGATCACAGTATTTTCTTCTGTCTTTAATCTATTGAAGCACATTATGACAAGCTTAACATGTATAAACAAGTTTCCATCTAATTAACAGAATGTAGGAGAGGGCATTTTTAGAAAGACAATTCAAAAATTTTTAGATACTACTGTACCTTTAATTTATTAGCTTTTGTTAAAAGCATGTAACAATCTAGAGGATATAAAGTATAATTTACAAAAATATAAATCTTGGTTATTTTATTTTTAGTATTTCAACATATTACTATATTGTATATGTTACTCAGAGAATATGTTTAACAACCTGAAATTATCCAGCAAATCAAAAATGTGGGATATTACATGTTTTCTTTGTAGAACAAATTATATATTAAGGAACAGTAGCCAAAAATTACTATATTAACAAATTGTTTATATGAAAACTTATGCAGTGACCTATACTCGCATCCTCAAGAAAATATACATTTTAAGCCCTTTATTACAGCATTTTTCAGTATAAATATGCATATTAAAAGTATGAGTGTTTTAGGCAAAATTGTTTGATTTGTGTATGAAAGTGATATTCTAAAACAAGCCTGCCTTTGCAAGTTCACTTCCCCATCTTCTTGGTTAACTGAAGAGATAAAATAGTCAGAAAATAGTATATAAAAACATATTTTAGTCCTTTGATTATGGAAAACTTTACACTTAAATTTCTCACTAAACACCAGGTATCCTGGCTAGGTGGGTTAGGAAGATATCTGTAGATGCACTGAATTCCTGAAAGATGAATATGGAAGACAAATGATGACAGTATGACCTATCCTTCGAGATGAGCACATGAGTTATTTCAGTCTCTCCGCCTGCTTTCTGAAGAGGAATTGCAGACTTGCATTGGTTCATCAGCAAGTGATGGATTCATTTCTCATTTACAACTTCCCAGAGTAGTCAGGCAGGATTTGTGGGCCTTGTTCCAGGTGTGTTTGTATGAACCTATCGGCAGGCACAAGTTTCAACTGACATATTGGGATATACCTTCAAAACAACATTTTTGTTCTCATCTAAGAACAGGACACTGAGTGAGCTCATTTTGTCTGGAACGCAGCAGGGTTCTGGGATGCCAGGAATGATTCCTACTGCTTTTACGATGCTCTGAATTGTAGCATGGTTTGATGGCCGGACAACCTGTAACAGAGAAGGAAACAGTTACAGCTTCATTTATGAGCACTCGCTTTCCTAGTGGACTTGGAAAATGACAACAATTAGAGTTGGTTTTTTGTTTGGTTTTTTTTTTTTCGTTTCTCAATAATACACCTGTTTTTGTTTGAGTCCCAGGGCCATGTAGCACAGCCATACTCTCACACTTACAGATTTCCTGAG